CCCTTCACCACTTTTTCCTTTTCCTTTAAACACAACACACACATGAAACAAAGTGTAGTGCGTGGTGTGTGTTTAAAGGGAAAGAACAAAGGGGAACAAATGAAACGAGTCCAGGGCTGTGGCCAACACAGACAAACCGTAGATACATGAGGGGGGGGGGTAGCATATATATATATATATATAGTGTGGAGGCTTTCGTAGCTGCCGACTTCCATCGGCTCTTTGCTTGAGGTTCTGCTGCAACAACCCCCGCATCGACCTCAACGGCTCGACAGTCCTGGCGAAGAAGCTGGGTTGCTTCGAAGTTAGTCGGGTTAAAGGTCTGGGGTCTGCAGGATGTGGGTTTGCTGTTTTGGCTTCAACAGCTTTGGCGTTTAGGGTTTCCGCGGTTCTGGCAGGTTTGCGGTTCTAGGCGTCTTGGGCCATGATGGGGGGCTGAGACCGAGCGCGGTGCAAGGAAATCCCAACTTTGTGGGGACATTCTGGCAAACTTCAATGAGAACAGCCAGCAAATCAAGCAGCTTGGCTGAACAGAAAGCAAACTCCCATGATTCTGCCAATGTGTTCATGCCGGACATCAAAGCGTTTTTGTCGTTTGGAAGAACTGCGCCAGGTTTGTGAGAGGTCCGGCGGCCAATGCCACGCAGGCACTGCGAGAGCCAGTGCCATAGCACTGACGCATGAACAGAGCAGGTAACAAGACCCTGTTGTCGATCATAGTATAGTATATTGAATTTGCCATGTCTTGTGCCCCTGTCCATTAGAAGCACGTGAGACAGGATCCCTTCCCAACCTGAATTGCAGGAGCAGCTAGACGTGCTGGCGACGGCTGGGCGCGGTGTACCTCGGGTTGTCGCAAAGTGTCAATAAGTTACTGTAAACTACCATAACGTAGTTTTTTGTTGGTTCCTGGTTATACCTTAGAAGATATAGGGACCCTACAAGAAGCAAAGGTTTTGGAAGTTCAAGGTAGATGCAGTCATGAGTACGTTTTTCCGGGTCGAGCTGGGCAACGCGGGGCAGCAGTCGAGTCCCTTGTGAAAAAAGTATCTACGGTGACTGCACTTACGGATTACAGGCCCCAGCACAATGCATCTTTCTTTCAAGTGTGACTCCTACAAGCCCCAGTTTATACTCAGATCGTGCCTTGCAAGGACATGGTCCCTACTGCCGTCGGGTTCAAGGCCGTGAAGAAGGATGCTTCCGCGTTGCAGTGCTCGAGCCAGTATCGAAGCCTTTCATTGCAGCCTCAGCGCAGGATGAAGAATGGCAGCGTGTAACGCAAGCTATTTGCCACCAAGCTTGAACAGAGTGTTTGGTGTGGTATGTAATTCAGATTCATGATGGTTTGAACCAAGAAATATTGCGGCACATCTATCTTCGTGCCCACCGAATCGCAATACATCGCAACAAAGCCATATAACTACATTGTCGCACCTCTATAATGGTACGCCTGTAGCACCCAAAGTGTACCCTTTTAGTACCTTGATACGCCTTGCCCATGGCCAAACCAGGCCGTGGCGATCGAGCCACGCTAATCACGTGGACTCACGACGGCAAGGACTTGTGACTTATATACTTGTGGCACCCAGCTGGTGTAGGGGTCTAGAGTCTAGGGTTGGTTTGGGGCCATTTTTGCACTGTGCGGAGGACGAATCCCAGAAGGCGGAGCTTTGTCCGACAGGCACTGTTCCAGTGCAAGGAAGGCCCGACACCAGCCAGTTGCTCTTCTTGCTTGAGCTCTATATTTGGTGGCAGGGGCTACATGTCCTTCGCGTGCGATGGCCATGTCATCAAAGAGAGGCGCTACCATTGCTGCAACGTGAACGGCCAACTGTCTCTCGGCTCGAGCTCTCCTAGAAATCCCCAGAATAGAAGCCCCTTGAATGCACCTCCGTTGCCCCTCTAAATGCTTTGTGAGCCCAGGCATTGCTCGCCGAGTTTGGTGGATGCCACGTCCATGGACCCACCATGCTGCTTATCAGCTCTTACTTGTTATGCTAGGTCTTTGTTTGGAGGCAGGTGAAGCACCAGCACAGGCTCTTTGGAGCCAAGTTTGTGTAACCTTGAGAGCGGGGTTTTGACGATTGCGGAGGTGACTGCCACCAGAATGATGTGGCTGCAGTCAAGGCGATCTTGATGCCAGCATTCCTGTGTCTTGCGGTGTCATGAAGAAGCTCATGCATAGCTGGCGTAGCTTGGTCTAGGAGAGCAGCCTCGCCTTTCTTCTGCCTCTGCTTGGCCATCGGAGAAAACGGCGAGCGAAAGCTCAAGAATTTCTGTGAGCTGAGCCGACCCAGCTTCTCCGCAGCGCGATCTATGTCATGGGTCGATACGGAACTCCAAAGAAGAGTGCCGTGCAGACATCCAACATGGTAGCACGTCGTCGTAGCGCGAGGTTCACTAGGACCTGGCGTGCATCCAATGAATGGAAGGCTGCCAGACCTTGTGGACTCGAGTGAAAAAAACGCAGGCTCGCTTCATTTGGGTACTATAAGGGTACCATTATGCGATACTACAGAACCCTCCCTTGGATTCCACTTTGAGCTCTGAGAGCTTCGTGCGCAGTAGAGCTTCGATTGCAATCCGAGGTGGCTGTCGCCTTGACAAAAACTTCCATTTCGACAGACGGCAAGGTGCTGTGCTTTCGCTGGGCAGAAGTTCGTGTAGTCAAGTCAGGAATACATGGATTGCCCACAGCCAGGTACTTGACCTTGCCAGCGCCAAGAATCAGATCGAGTCAGCGGCGGAGGGGTGTTAACCTCACGGTCCTGCGGTGGCGTCTTAGCAACTCGCTTCCCCTCCGGCGTCATTGCATAGGCTCGATATTCAGTGGATCGAAGCTGACGCTGACGGACATGGGGTTATCTCAAATTTTGCCGGGATCCTACTCCAATAATTACAGTAGTAATTGGGCGCAAGTGCAACTACAAAGTTCTGGCTTGGCCTTCCACGCTCAGGAGCTGCCCCTGGTGGAATTCGCGGAATCCGCGCGTGCCTGGCTGCAGCGAGAAGATTCCTTGCTGTCGACACATATACAAGCCTCAAGCCCTCTCTGCAAGCCCGAAACCCCTAACAAGAATGATTTTTTTTAGTACAACCCTAACGACAAATGGTGCCTTGACGAACTTGTGTTTTAAGGAGAGCTCTTCGTTCATGGTGGTGAGCTTTAACACTCGGAATGTCGGCTTGTCTCGTTGGCACAGACGACAATGCAGCAAATCCATGTCAAGGTGGCACAAGTCCACCTCCGCCTTGCGATCAAAAGAACATGCGATCGTTGCAAGTTGAACTGGGGAAGGCCCCGTTTCATGCTTTCAGGTATCCTTCGCCTATTTCAGGTGCTGTAGCGGCCCTTGTGTGGGCCCATGAAAGCATCAACAAGTTCATGCCGCGAAGAAGAGCCCAACACGCATTCGACCCGACCGGATTGTCGAAACTGTGCTGGGGGAGCGTCTTTGGCAAAGCATCGCATACGCGATCCCATGCAGTTCTTAACAGCGTTTGCTTTGCTTGAATGATAGAGAGGCACAGGCAGAATGCGGGCGTCTGGCTCCCCTAGCGGGGCCGATGCGCTTTATGTATGAACAACGTTATATATATATATATATACATATATTTATTTATTTATTTATTTATACAAGTGTGCTAAGTACATATTTGTATATACACATATTTCATGTTATTATGCACGATATAGTATGTTTTTCAGATATAGTATGTGCTGTGCTATCTGTATATACTTACATACTAAGAGGTATGTATACGCATATACGCATATACATATGCACATATCTATATACACACGTATATGTACATACACACACACGCACATATATATATATATATACACACACACCCAGATTCGGTGGCGATGGCGATGGCAAGCATCTCAGAGCATTCGACAGCTGCCGAAAGATGCCGAAAGCGGCATCGCGAGCCAGATGCTGCTGGGCTCAAGATTGAAAGCTGTGCCGTGTTTTGCCACGTTATATAAAATACTGCAATGTGACAGAAGTTTGTATATTTGTCATATTGCTGTACTGTATTATGTTGCATGTTTCTTGTAGTGCATACTGTTTCGATACATTAAGCTCTAGTATAGATCCTATTGTCTTTCAGTATGATATGTTGTATTGTGTTCTACTGTATTGTGTCGTATTATATCCCACTGCCGGGAGCAATTTATCTCATGATTATATCATATGCCCTTGCTAGCCCTAGTATTCCACAGACCGTGCCAGCGCGAGATAGTCAGGATCCACCGAGAGGCAAGGCGGAAGAGAGCAGCTCAGAGCTGGAGGAGTCGGAGCCGCATGAAGATCCACCAGGGTTTAGGGGCAATAAGGTTTAAGGCTTAGGGTTTAGGGCTTTAGGGGCAATAGGGTTCAGGATTTAGGGCTTTCTGGGTCATCACTTCCACGACCTTGCGTTTACTCAGTTTTCATTTGTGGTTTTGAGTACAATAATTCCTCAAAGCTGGGCTGTCCAACTGCATGGGTTGTCATGAGTACACGTTGTGCGGGGTTGCGCAGTCATGCGTACTGCGCTGCTTCACGGCGACGGCAGTTCCGGGCGAGAGAAGCCTGCTGCAAAAAGGGCTTGCAGGGTTCAGGAGTTTAGGATGTAGGGTTTAGAGGGCTTTGGAGCAGTTGCAAACGCAGTACCAGGAGCGCCAGCTGCGGATTTACTGCGCCGGTCAGTCGCAACCTCTTTGCGTCAGACTTGTGACGGAGGCCGGGTGGTAGCCGGACAAGACCTCGCATGAGAGAATATTAAATTTTAGGGTTTATAGGGGTCTAGGGTTTATAGGGGTTAAGGGTTAAAGGGCCGAGAAGCTGAGGTATCTACCCCTGGACTCGGTAGACACGGCCTCGCAGGCCATCTCTGGCCAGCCGGCAAGTTGCTGGTGACCCGGACGCAGTGGGATGTAATCTTTGCGAAGACCGTGGACGGACAAGTTGGGTTGTGTCATGAGGGCGTTTCCGAAAATAGGGGACCCTAATATAGTACCCTAAATAATAGGATCCTTATTATAAGGACACCAAAATAAGGTACCCCTTATTTTCGCAAACTCCCATGTTGTGTCCGCGTAGCACTAGAGTATGTTGCAGCTGGCCAGGCCGAGCTTTTGCTGAGACCTCTACCTCTGGGCCAGGCTGGCTACGGTGTTGCGTTTGGTACACACGAGATCAGGATCGCCAAGTGCTTCAGTCCCGGGAACTTGCATTAGGCTTGAGCAAGTGTTGGCAGGGTGCGCACGAATGCCGAGTTTCTGTTGCAGTTCGAGCCTTTGCAAGGAGTTGGCCCAGCTGCTGTCAAAATCCGCGCGCGTCCTGGACACTTTCCTCGGCTTTGGCCATCAGGGTGTGCATGTTCGTTTCCTGATGAGCGGCTGCATGCACCCGTATCTGCGGGTGGGTGAGTGACTGAGTGAGCACAGCACGAACTCTCTCATGCGCGTATGGGGTAGGCTGGAGATAATTATCGGATACGCCCTCAAGACCCCTCAAGCGTCAGCTAGACGGGTGGCAGAACACCCCAAAGCAAGCAAGACGGCAAGATAGTATAATCTACTGCCAAAACCCTGTCGCTAATCTCGCGATCCCGGCTCGGCCTGGCGAGGAGCTTGGATCAGGCCCTGCGCTGCCGAGTATTTGCCACTCGCCCTTGTTTGGGGGAGCGGAAAGGGTTTTTTTCTCCCAGGATCCAGGGTTTATGATGTTGCGTGCAGTGCCCTAC